GACAACTAATGAATAGCAAATGGGTCAGCCAACACTCTCTCCAAGATTCTTTGGGATTTGCATATTTTAACCAGAGTGTTACAATTGAAATATGAGAAAAGACAGTAAAAGAAAAATAGTTTATAAAGCCAATAAGTCAACAAATCTGATGTCTGAAACAATCAAATTTTCATTTAGAATTATTGTGAAATGATATGGGGTTTAACTTCCTCTTTTCTGCACCCCCCGGGCATGAAGACGGAAAGGATGATTGTATTGGAGACAGTAGGGACTGACTGGAAGACAAATACCTGCGGTCGAAGAACTTGTTATGCTGGCTGTCCATGATAAGTTGATTTGCGTCCAAATGTTTACACACCGAATGAGTTTATTTACATATCATCATGAATATATTTAGCTACAGTGGCTACAGGAATGTATTTGAATAAAATCTGAACATTTAGTTAATATTTATAAATACACCATATATTATATACATATATTAAACACTATTTCTCTGTTTTTACTATATATTTTTTTATAATATATCAGCCTCTTGTGTTTATTTGTAGTTTCTACATGTATTTAGCATATGTCTACTACCTTATCAATGTTAAAAACACATCATTAGGTTATATAAAACAAAGACATGCCTTGTATCTCCCCTTCTTAACTATTCTAACACATTTATATTTAATGGCTGATTCAGAAAACAACAAAAAAGAGGTAAGCAGTGTTGTGAAATAAATCCTTGTATTGGGGATATATGAAGCAGAAGATGTAATTAATATACGGAATTGGACGTACCTGTATGTTTTTAGGGTGGAGATGTGGATTAACAATCCTAGCCTAATTATTCTCCGATAATAAAGAATACATAAATAATTATCAGATATCTTGCAGCACACCAATACTCTTAGCAGAAGAGACCTACCACATACTGGCTTTGGTCGATTTAATGACAAAAGACATTTACTATACATATTTGTTTTCCACATTTTTTTAAATAAGTTTCTGTAACAATTTAACAAATACAAAAGACATACCCTGAATACCCGTTTAAACTAATATTGGATCTGTTACAATGATCTGTTAAATAATATTTTATTAGCTGAATATGTAATATTTACAGGAATTGAGAAGCCTGTTATAATATAATCTGTCTGTTTTTATACTCCAATGTGTCCTCCGTGTATTTACCTTACATATTTCAAGACCCCACACATACTATAATCAGATTAAACCTTAAACTGTTTTAAACATGTTGAATGTAATATCTCATCATCTTTTATAACTACTCATGGTTTGTAATGTAACTGATTTAACTCTTCTAACATGATTCAAACCCAAAAACATGATAACTTGACAATTTTATGCAATGGTCATACGGATCAATGTAAACATCACCAAAAGTCAGTTATAAGGCCAGAATGCAAGGGTCTAGTTTCATAATTGCACATTAAATCATGGGTTTCATGAGTCCTGGGCACAAGACATTGCAGATGTACAATATTTGTGAGTTCCACAGTCTACAAACACTATATTGGAAGTTAGAAAGGATGGTTTGGAAAACAAGGAGTGAATGAATAAAACATTTAGTGATTTAGTGTGCTATGACTGAAAGTCTACCCGGACGGACAGTGGCGTTTTGGTCACATCTTTATTAAATTAACATGTACACCAATGTGTTTCGTCCCATCCAAATGGCAAAAATTCTTTTCCTTGTCAAGGCCCTCCATCCTGCACCACTACGACATCGGAGAACAAGGAGATAAAATCCTGAGTATCTGGATCAAACCCACAGCCTCCTGGTCAATTAGCAAGTGCCATGCTCAAACCGCCAGTGTGGCTACTGTGAAAACAAGGGAAAGCTGGATTATAATTTACAAATCGCCATACTGCCCAAGTATAAAATTGATATATGTCTGTTAATGTTTTTGTTACATATGCATACGGAACAATGTGAAACAATTTCTATTTTCTCAGAATTGTAGCATCCCATGTAAACAAGGATTGCTACCTCCTACTGTTTAATAATGAGAGGAATAAAATATGTACGGTTTAATCAGTAAGTTGAACAGGATCTAACCAATGTTAAGTATTAAAAATACCATGTGTAGATTTATCTCTAAGCTCCATTACTTGCAATCTAAACAAACACTTCAACATTTGTTATGTCTAATTCACATCAGTCAATCTCAATTGGTCAGTCAAACAGACAGTTCTTCCTCTGGTCAAGATTTATATAGATCAAACTGTAACTTTATCTAAGATGTCTTTTTAAGCTAATTGGTCAAAGTGCTGTCTTTAATCTTAAGTCATCTGTATTTCCCAGGAAATTTGGATTTCTACAAAATCTAGAGAAGATGATTCAGTGAAGAAACAGTGTACAGTGTATATGTATATCAAATCTGACTGTTGCGAATCCAAGTTCAAACAATCTTGTAGTACAATATTACATCATAAAAAGATGTGTGTGTTCATCTCAGCGCAATAGATGGTAATAACGAAGCATAATCAAATTTTAAAACATACCATTATCTATTAGAAGATAATTAAGTGATGAAATAGATAAAGAGTTAATATATTTTCAAACCATCTTATAGCACCTTACAATTCTACATTGTGAATAGATGTGTTGTATTCTATGTAGCACAATAGAGGTCAATCATGACACACTTTCAAATATTTTTCATCTAAAATTTTTTTTTAAAAACTACCTTGATCTATTACTGTGGTAGAAACTTTTGTTTTATTAAAATTGTATATTAGACAAACCCACTTTGACCTCAAAGATTTCTGTCAGATACTGATAGGCATGGTATTGATATACATGCACTCAACTCTACTTGTGGATGGATTGCTTCAGATTAAAATCTCCAATTCTCTTTAAGGAATGAAAATATCATAGGTCAGTGAGTAAGAATCTTAGACCACACACTTTGTTTATTAACTTTATGCTTTTGTTTGTGTTTTTTTTTCCAAAAAGCAACATTATAGACCTAGGAGCCTAGGGTCAATGATTAAGAGAAATGGATACCTTTACAATTTTGATTTCAATTTTTCAAAGGTGTGACACAACCATATTATGATAACATTCTTACATTCTGTATAATAAAGGTAATTATATATCAGCTGTTCATTTTTACATAGAGAGAAAAATGTTTGAGTGCTTATAAAAGAATTTTTATGAAACAAAAAGGGTAGCAGGGATAGAGTTCATACTGGTTACACCAAGGCACTATTTACTCTAGGCATTAATCATTCACACTGAGCAGACTTCAAATTAACATTAATTCACCTTATAATATATTTTAACATCTGGTTGGATCTGCTGACTTTTTACCATTCAATTTATTTTTACTTCACAGAAATCTCATTGTTAATCATAAATAAATTAAACGTGAAAGTGAATCGAGGAACTATTAAAGTGACGCAATGTGAAAAGTATTAATTTGTACAATACACTTAATTTACATAATACAATCTGCTAGTCTCTGTATAATTAAAACTCTTCTGGTGGCGACGAAAAAATGAATCATTTTAATGGCAGATTAAACAAGACAAAAAGATGTCCCGACACAATACTAATGAGTTTGCAGTTAGTGGCAATCGATCACGTCACTCTTCAAAGCAACTTGTGACATAATATGATAGTAATTAAAACATTTGAAATATTGATTAATTTTATCTAATTAAACACAAACGGCGGATGATGTGAGAAGTTTGATGCATGAAGCAGTCCAGAGTCAAGTATTCTTTGGTAAAATATCACCATTCAAGAGAATTAGTCATCAATGAATCTTGAGTAAATGTGATATTGATAAAAGGCTTCATTCAATCAATGGGTATTTTAAAAGGAGGGTGTTCAGAAATTGATGCAACAGGTTTCAGATTCCCATTATTAATGCTGATTCTTCATATCCTGGAAATTTAAACTTAGTAATACTACAATAAATGTATCAGAACTATAAATAAATAAGATGCACTGTACGCAAGTAAGTCTGTGTGAAGTTTAAAGCATTTAAGTGGTGGGGAATCAAGGGGGATAAATCCAATTTAACAAGTCTTATGTAAATGACAGTTTTTTTTCTTTACACACTTACCTCAGAATATACTCTTGGAATTAATAACTAAGTCAAGCGAAATTGTGTTTTTGTCTATAAACAATGGACAGTATCTCAAACTTCAGTAGTAAGACTGTAAACTTATGCAAATACTTGATTGAACATTCAAGGGAAGTAACCCTAGTTTTACGTTGTTTTCTGTTCATATTTGCCAACCGTGGTAACATTTTGCAATGCACTGCAATACTTTATGAGGTTTTTGTCTTCAATACAGCAAATGTTGGTTGTAATCTGTGATTGTATTCCAAAGCAATGCAGTGCTTGGCAATTGTATTCTCAGTTACTTGTATTTTGTAACTGTATACTCAATACTTTATTTAGGCGAAGTTTCGAAGAGTATTCTCTCAAAATTTTCAAGCAAAAGTATTCTCTCAACGTTTTCAAGAAGTGCTTGAAAATGTTGAGAATATACTCTTCGAAACGTCGTTTAAATAAATCAGTAATTGTTCTTCCATAAGTATGTGTTATAGTTTATGGTACATGTATATGCATAGTCAATGCTTTGTAATTTGTAATGGTACTCAATGCTTTGTATTTTGTAGCTTTGTATTTTGCAACTGTATACTCAATGCTTTGTAATTTGTTACTGTTTAACCAATGCTTTGTAAATGTATACTTTGTAATTTGTTATTGTATCCCCATAATCAACACTTTGTAATATGTCATGGTAGCCTCAATGTTAGATACAATAAATTCTATTACCTGTATCCATATTTACAAAATCTACATTAGTTATATTATTTACTCTTTGATTATCCTGAAGGAGATAGCTCTGATCAAGAGAAATACTTGAACGGAAGAAGATTGTGGATAGGTTGTTTGACAATAAATGTAAATATCTTTCATGGTTTGCATGTTATATATATCTATTATGTTGTAAAACTAACATCCTACCTTCACCAGAATCTGAGTCTTTTTTAACTTTAGCTAATCTTGGATCTAACCAGTGAGTTGTTTCAGTATCATGACTAAAAAATAAAAAAATAAAAAACACATTTAATAATGAGGAAGACAGATACATACATGTAGAAGAGCATTATTTTAAAGTATTTTTGTCATTCCTTCAGAAGTACCTTTTAACAAAACCTTTATGAATTTTGTTGCATTTAGCCATCAGGACCATAATAAAACTCCGAATTAACCTGACTAGTTAGTCCATCTATCCTACAATGCATGAAGGGATGCTTTGTCTTGGGTAATAAATATTTTAATCCATCAGTGTTTTAGTCAAACTTCAAACAAAGTCATTCAAGAAGTAGTTAGATCTGTATGCACATCAACCAAATTATAAAACCAGAATTAAATAAAGGTATTATTTCAATCATATTTCCAGCTGTTCGAAATTAACACAGAGAGGATACATTTGTTGAAGAAAAAAAAAAGATAACCTACTCTATAAAATATGGCTGTCCTTCATCTGTGAATGCCATCTCCCAGTTTGATGGTAAAGGTCCCAGATTTGAAGAACTATGAGCTCGTTCTAATGATTTTTTCCGTGTTAGAGGGGGAAGAGGTAATTCATCAGAGTAGTCATTTGATTGGACAGCTTCAGAACTACTGTTGTTTCTTTTTCTCTTTGTATCGCCTGGTGACCCAGCCATGTTACCACCTGGTGTAGGACGACGCATTAAAGCATTCGGCTGAGGTTCTTTTGGTGGTCTTGGTGTTCCGTAATGGTTACCTAATATAGTAACAGTATAAAGAATTACACAAAATGGTCATTTTCTTTTAGGACTGATTCCTCAAGTAATAATTAATTTACAGACTTTGAACTTCTACTCTTAAAATTTAATCAAAGTATGACTGGATGGAAGTAAATTTGTAATTGAGTATTCTGTTTTGACTTCTTTAAAAATGATGTGAATTTAACTCTGACAAGCCAGAATAACGGTTATATTGAGTTTATCCCCATTCACAATCATAAGTGATTTTATAAAAAAAATTATCCAAATTATCAATTCTAACTGAAGTTGTGGCCATCTAAAGTTTACATTGGTTTCTACTGATTTAACACGACCATCTTTAGGTGTCTTACAATGTAGATAATAAGTAATAATAATTTTGAAATCTTTTTGGTACAAGCCAATCCATTAATACTCAGATGTGTTTTTAATTACATAATAAGAGTAGTTTTTACATTAAAGCAGTATATACACAATGTATTTATGACTATTGAGATATTTGACAATCTGGCTTGTACCTTTAATCTTTTATACATGTAATCAAAATCTCTTGACAACTCAACACATTTTCATTTTGAATGATTATAAAATTTTTAATATAAACGTATGCCTAAATCTACTTCCTCTATTATTTCAGGTGCAACTTTTGGCTTGACTGGGTCAAAAGGAAACAAAAATATGATGTGATGACCAGGTGTTCTGTACTGTTGTTAAATGTTTTATTAATGAATAAATAATCTAATGTCATTTAAAACAAATCTGAATTTCCAACCACAAACCATAAATGTCAGTGAAGGTCACTGAATACAATGTACATAATTTTCTGTATGAAAGGCCAACGCAACATTTTACATAAAATAATTGATAGATTTCCAGACAGAACTGGAAGCTAGTTGTATCTTGTAAAATTACAACAACGATAAAGTACATCCAAGAAGAGCTTTGAATACATGTATCACATGATATGGGAAAGCATCTATAGTTTCTATTTTTATACAATCCCTATGATAAGTATATTAGCTTATTCAGAATATAATCAGAGAAATGTGATTTAATATATCATCTAATGTGCATCTCACACTGTTCATTTTATAGGTCATGAAATCTACAATGTAGTGAAAATATTTTTATTCCAAATTGGAAAATGTCTCATTTTTTGCATTTACAACCATTAATAGATATACTGAGATAATAATCCAATTGGCTGTTCAGTTAAAGATAGAATCTAAACCAAGTTATAAATTCTAAATAAACCCCTGCTGTATTTGGCTCCATTGGCTATGAAACCGGAGGTGGGGACTTGCAATTGAGTTACCAAGAACATAATTACAATGTATCTATACGTACCATCAAATATTCCACTCTCTAATAAATCTCCTGTTTTTTCAAGTTCATAAAATTCTTCTAGAGATAGAAACGTATAATCAACACCATTTGATTCACCTGGTCTAGGTGGTCGTGTTGTACCTTAAATTACAAAAATACACATAACAGAAATATTATAACAGAAAATGGTGAAACAATTATAAAGTTATTAGCACAAAAATATTATTACAAAAACTGGTGAAACATTTAAAAAGGTATCAGCAGAAAAATAGGAGATATTTAGAATTCTAATAGTTAAGTATTCTTGATTTCAATTTACATGTAGATCATTGTAAATCTAAATAAAGGGGAATAAATCTTACAGGTAAAAAAAAAAATTAAAAAGTTATCAGCACAAAAAAGAGATAATTAGAACTCTGATGATTAAGTATTCTTGATTTCAATTTACATGTACATAACTTTAATAAACTTGGAAATCTAAATAAAGGGGAATAACTCTTACACTGTTAAAATGAAAGATTTCAAATAGTACATTTACATGTGGTTAACCTTAAAGTTCTGTGGTAAATTATTCATTTATTCATGAATAAAGAATAAGACTGCAATTTGGTTAAATGTTCAACAGAATTAGTATTCATGAATGTTATTTTACAGGACACTAAACACTATTGTAAAATTTGAGTTGACTGCAATCTCTTGTATCAAGTTCTATTCTCATTACTTTAATGACAAACTAAGGAAAACACAAAGATAACTTACAAGGCACTGTTCTCATATAAAGATTATCTCTAATAGTCTGTTGTAGATCATGATCCACAGAACCTTTCTGAAATCTCGCTGTTAAAAACTGGCGTAACTCTCTTGGCAGTAAACCTACAAAATAGAAAAAGATCAAATAAAAAAACTTAACTTGTATCTAATAATTGTGACTGCACCATATAATATCAAAGCACTCAAGAACATTCAGACAAGGAGGGATCAGGATATTTTCAAATTGTGAAAAGTTTTAGCATGTGTATCAAAATCTTTGCAGATTACGTTATATATGTATATATTCCCCTGCAGTCAGTATTGTTTGAATCCAGTCATACATAAAAAAATTTGTGAAAATGTGAGTAAACCTGTGGAGTGTACACTACATTTTTTTCTCACAGATTAACCGAAGAATATTACGTTGTTGCAAAAAACAAAGAAATTGGGGAAAACACACAACATTATCAGTAATGTTTAGTGTATTGGATGATAATTTATACATTTAAGTCTGGTAGACGGAGACTACAGAAACAAACATTTGTTTATTAGTATTGACTATGATTTATCTACATTTGTTTGTAAGCCTAATTTGAAGAACAAGAAGTTATTGTGACCCCTGTCATAGACAGAAAATAGGTCATACAAGGAAATGAAGCACTAGATTTTTATTTGTTGAGTATTTGGAGGCGATATATGTACATGTTCAGTTGTGAACGGTGTTGTAAAACCAGCCTGGACATCCTTCATCAAATTGTTTTTCAGACAATTACCCAGCAATCCAAGTCCACCAGACATTACCAGTTCTCCCCTGTACATGTTACGTAAATATATGATGATAATAATGAGTCTGGTTGGAAAAGACTAAGAAACAAACACTTGATGACCAGTCCTGTTGAGTGTGTTATGACAATATTGACAGAAATAATTAACAGTAATCATAGAATGTAACTGGACTAACAACAACTATAAGGTATATTTAAAGACCCTGCTTCAGTTGGTAAACAAAATCAACCAGTCCATTATGGATAATCAATATACACCAGGGTTTCAGTGTAACACTGAGTTTTGGATGAATAGATTACACCCCTGTTATTGCGAGTCCATACTATATGTAATTTAACAGTATTTACTATGCCTACTTTTACGGCATGTAAATTGACTGATGGAGCAAATTATCCACTTGGTAAATTTCTCTATCGGTCAAGATTAGCAAGCAGATACACTGTATGACAGGGGCACCCATGTCGGTACCCTTATATGCATCGACATCCGATTTATTATCAAACCTATATCATAGTGAATGACATTATGAGAGAAGGTGTTAATGTTATATCTCACTTGTTTATACCAAGGTTCTCACTGATTCACCATTACAACAATTATATTCACATATTTCCTGTTTCATAATGTTTTACAATCTGATTAAAACACAGATCCTATTTCGTTTCGTATTTTATAGTTCAAAATTTCGTTTTATTTGTCTGTACTACACTAGGATCTGGGAGAGTTGTTACATGTATATAACCTGCATTCTGGATGGCGTGAGGCATTAACCAATAAAACCATCTGTTCCAGCGACTTCTTGGCGTGCGATGCATGGAACTGTGGGTAAACCACTAGAAACGTCAACGCTGATTGATTAATCAATGTCTGACATCATATGGTCAAAAGCCGTTCATACGACCTCTACTCTAACGCAAGCTTTTACTACAACCGGTTAGATCTTCATGTAGTTTAGGCCATCATAGGTATAAAAAAAAAATGAAACGGAATATAGATCTGTATTTTAATCTGATTGAATGTTTTAAAATTAGGTTCCAAACTGAACTTGAGAAAATGTTAAAAATGGTTATATCTTCCAAATATATTGCAGGCCAATCAGTGACAAGCCAAACACACAAAATATTGACATTATCACAACTATGGTTAATCAATATGAGGACTTCAACTTTTATACTACATATATGTATGTATCATAACAACTCTCCTGGACCTGGTTCCATGTCAATCAACCACTATTGTACTACTATTATTCCTATGTTTTACATACAGTGTACAAACATACTGGCACCACTGTACCAAAACATAGAAACCTACTTGGACATATTCAAAACAGGAAACAGAAATGTGGCACCATATTTCTGCTTCTATGCCGCAAAATGTACAGGTACAGCTAGCTGTATGTTATAATTTTAAGGATAAATTTAAAGAAGCATTAGAAATTTTATTTCGATTTTCTGTGACAGTTACATTTAATATCAATTAATATGCAAAATTTGAGACATCTAATACTTCTTCACCATTTTAAGATTCTATAAAAGTCAGGGTGCATCATGGCCCTCAGTTGTTTTCAATGTTCAGTGAATTTGTAATTTTTCCAGTTCTTAGATTTTGTGTAAATACCTAGGAATATTTTGAATGTTATATGAAATTAATTACATATATTCTCTCTTTATTAAGGTGCTTTTACATACTGACTTATGTGTGTATCATACATGTATACATATGTAAGTCAACTTAATACATGTTAATAGGTAAAGTATGCAAGTATGTCGGTATACATTATGTATTATAAAAAGCAATTCATCATATACATGTACCCTAGTATGTCTATTTATATGGTCTGTCTATCAATAACATGTCAAAATTACTTTCTCACTTTTTTAAATATAAAACACATACCACCATTGGCACCAAATTTCATCATATTACAATATAATATGTACATGTATAACATAAAGCAATCATATGTCTTAAGTAGTAGGATTAATTTCAGTACAAATGTAAAAAGCTACTGGATGAATTAATTAACATACATTTACATGTACCATATGTATGTGTACAAGTCAAGATTTATAACTTTGTCTCATTTCCTTTGACAAAAAATATAGAAATGAAATGGAGTTTAACGTCTTACATTTCTGTTCCGACTGGGCTAATGAAGAAGAGTGCATGCCATACAGTGTGCTGTAAGAGAAATTTTGCCCGACTGGTAGTGCTACGGTCTACTCTTAAATCAAATTCGAACTGTCAAGGGTACTTTAACTTGCATGCTAATGTGTAGTACATTGTGTACACAGGACCTTGGTGTTTCGTACCATCCGAACGACTTAACTGGGATTGAACATATGACGTCCAGGTTAGCGAGCCAACATCTTACTCAGTGAGCCTCCACAGCTCTCTAAAAGTGTAGATTATTAACCAATGCACCCATACATGTACTTTACGTGAGTATAAAGAGGAACAGGTGCACTGACTGATACAAGCTCTTGTAAACTATATGGTTTAAATGTATACTAACGAAAGAAATTAAATTCTTCACAAACTATATGTACATGTAGAATTAAATTCAATTTAGAATTTACTATGTAAAGCCTTGATGTGCCGGAAGGCCAATGATCATTTTCCTGGTATAAATTTAACAAAAATATGCACTGCCAGTAATTTTAGAGGTACATGTATGGTATGTTAGATAGTGCATTGATCTCGATATTCATTGATTAAAATGATTTACCCTTTACATGCAGGTGTTTAACATCAAAAAAAAGGCTACGTCGAAAATCAAGGGAATGTTATGCGAATTTAAGATAAATTAGATGTTCATAACAGATAAATTGTACATGTAGTTAATAATTACAATATACATGTACATGTAGGCTATGCACTGGGATGAATTAGATGTCGATAACTTTAAATAATTCTTGGATAATTCTGGTTTCTTGTAAAAATGAAATGAAATGGAATGGTGTTTAACGTCCTATTGTTTTGCTCCGAACTAGGCATACACCATACAGTGTGCTATGAGGGAAATTTTGCCCGAACAGCGGCACTACGGCCTACTCTTATATCGAATTTCAACTGTCAAGGGATCTTTTACATGCACGCCAATGTGTACACGGGACCTCGGTTTTTCGTCTCATCCGAATGACTAAACAGCTCTCCTTGTTAGGCCCCCCCCTCCTGCATCACTGACAAGGGGGAACCACGCTGGAAAATCTGGGTGAACTTTCTCGGCCAATGCAGGGATCGAACACCCGACCTCCAGGCTAGCGAGCCAGCGTCTTACCCACTTAGCCACCATGACCCCACTGGTTTCTTGTAAGAGTACTTATGATTATGTATGGTCTGAATTCTGAAAGCCTATGTACATGTACCTTTGGACTGTTCGGTGTTTAAAAAGATACACGTACATGTAGATAATACAGTGTAATTCCAAAATAGGGCAAGTACTGGCACATGAAGATAATAATTCCAACACTTTCATTTGTGCATGTATCATTTTAAGTCAAATTTGAAGTTCTAGATTGAGTAGATTACCCAAACATAATGCTGCTACTTGGACAATAACTGCATTTTCCCTAAGCAGAAGCTAAATGAAATAAATAATGAGATCAACTGATCCACATCATAAATTCTTTTTAGAAACTAAAACTTATTAACCAAAAATTTGGCAACATCTGGATGTCACAGTGGATAAAAGTCAAAACAACACAGAAATAATTTTCTATAGAGGAATACTTTGTATTTTACAGTAACCAAAAGGAGATTCTAATGTATTATTAGTGTATAATACTATCTATAATCTGGAGTAATAGTAAAATACCAGGTCATATTGTGAATAATCAGAGCACAACTAGTAGTATATACAGTATATATACCTCCGTAATACCAATATAATCAACTGATATTCATATACCTTTTATTTACTCCAATAATAAATCTATTTATACATGAATATTGTATTTTTTGCTTTGGGGATGAATTTTTTCATGGTTTGGAATGTCAGTTTTCTGTACTAGTTAGCCTACATGTACATTTAGTAACCTTATTCTTTGAGTTGTACTTTTGTTATTATTTAAAATTGTAAAACTATTATTAAATAAATTACACCACTCTACATAAGTGGACATTTTCTTCATACTTTTTAACATACTATTACATCATCAGGATATACATAGGCTATATTTACTTTATCATTGACATGATACATGTTTAATAATTTTGTATGTTTAATAATTTCTCTGTTTTTCCATAGCAAATTGTAAAATCTGTGTATATTATGTACAGTACATTTTTTCAATCAACCATGCTTATTTTTGCTGGGATATGTGATACAACTT